ACTAGTAAAATGGTAAAGTACTAACCGGTATCAGGCGTCAATACTCAATACTGGTACCTGCCAACTGGTGAATAACTGAATAGGTTATAGCTATAGACAACTGACAAATATGATTTTATTTATTAATAATTATCATTGAAATATCAACCTGTTGTTTTGTTGATAAAAATAAATGGTTTTTATTTCTGGGAAAAGTTGTAAATATACCAAAACTGAAACTATCTAATGAAGTTAATAATACCCAAGTAATTGAAAAGGGAACGAATTAAAAGACTCGAATACTTGGAATACTTGTCGATTACTACGTTTAGTACGTTTATATTATGAAGGCGTTAAAACGATTTTAAATGCTTAAACTTTATAGTGGCATACTGACTTGTGGAGTTTGTTTTAAATTTTTTTTCTGTTGGAGCTAGAAAGTTAGAGAATTCTTAAAGAAGCAAAATTCGCCAAGCCTCCGAACGTTAAACCAGAATAATGTATGTTAGTGATTATATTAACTGCCTATGTTCCTAAGGCCCGGTTAAGACCAAGAAAAATTTGTCGTCAACATGTTTTTGTCATAGTTGTCGACAAATATTTGTTGCCATTTAAGAGTTGTGGCTGGCAATCAAAAAACATTGTTGACGACAAATTTTGTTTGGGGCTTTAGGTCAATTTTTTGTTTATGGTGTTGATTGTTAATCTAATTTTATATTGTGTTTATTATTTAAGGTTCTTATCACATTTATTTTTATTTTATATATCACAATGTGTTTGAATTATTTAATAAAGAAAAAAAAATATTTCATCTATTTCAGCTTTTATTAATATTAATATTATATTACCTACAATTAAGGTCACTAATAAGTAATAAACAATACTTTATTAAATAAAGTTTATTTACAAATGCAGTGCCGCTTAAACAGAGCAATTAAGTAGGTAGTAAGGACTCTTTTCCCGTTTCCGGACGCATTTATCCAGGTTCTTACAGTTATAGATAATGGTATTATCGATACTCGATTCTATGGAACGAGCCAAATTTTTGTCGTCATATTACGAGACGACGTAGCTCCTAATTCCTATACTACTTACTACTAGTCTACATCGTCTACAATAATTAGTACCCAAGTGTTTTTTGTAACGAGTACTGTATACTCTGTACAGAACTGTTAAAAATATATTAGCCGAAAGTTGCAACTATGAACCCGGTTACGGTAACAGTGGTATAGCTCTGCCGACATTTTTGTTATGTTGAAAAGTTGAAGAACTGCAACGGTAGATGGTGCAGGCGTTATTGCAGTGGTGTCCAACCCGCGGGCCACATATTGTGATCTGCGAAGGTATTCCGTGTGGTCCGTTACACGTTTTTAAATCAAACGATAATTCTGAAAAAAAGTCAAGTTATATTTATTTATTTTTTAATAGTAATGATAAAATAAAATAAATACATAATTATTGGTGGCTCGTTCTAAGATAATTATTTACCAAAATGGTACGCTGAACAAAAAAGGTTGGGCATCACTGCGTTGTTGCTCAGTAAAGTTTGTGTAGTACATTCTGTATAATGTCGTGCTCGGCACCTGTATTGAAATCAAGCTCTACGATTGGTTTATTTGAAAATACCGCCAAATAGCTTACAATAATATCACTATCTTAATAACCAAAATCAGTTAATTTTGTGCCAAATATTTTTAATGACAATTCGAACTATTATTATAAAGTTAATTCACGGAATAGATTTAATCTGTTCCGTGGTTAAATCATTATTATATATTATATAATATATGAGAAGGTAGTAACTAGTAAACTGGAGTTTGTATGTTATATTCAGAAATAATAAATTATATACGATTAAAAAGGTAAATATTATAAAAAATTATAATCATAAGTATGATTTAAATAACAAATATAATTAYCTACAAATTACAAATCCACACTAAGAAGTAAGAATTGTATCATTATGTTGTATAATATGTTAAATACATTAATATGTATTATATGTATTATAATTGGATGGTTTACCTTTTGCTTCTAATAATAAACGGTATTATATATCATAATAGATAATGAATGAAATAAAAACTTAGAGGGAAAGGAAGGGGGTTCTGGCGGTTTTGGACCGGGCCCTGGATCATAATACATAATATTATTAACAATATTTTCTAAATCTATAACAAAAATAAAAACTGTACGTAAGTACAGATATTCACGACGAGGAATCATCGATAGACAATATTAGGTCGATATTTCGATAACTGAACGAAATATAATATCATGTATTCACGTGTGCGTTGTATAAGTGTATGACATCAAAATTCCAATATTATCAGTAATTTAAAATTAAATATACAAGATACGGCAACCGGTTTCCTAAACCAGCGTTTCCCAAAGTGTGTTCCGCGGAACCCTAGGGTTCCGTGGGACTATCTCAAGGGTTCCGTCAGATGTATGTGATGTCTGAAACATTTTTTGTAGTACTGTTTTTTTTTTTTAGAAAAAATGGGGTTGAGTTGGAAGTAAAGACACATTAGGGTTCCTCAAAACACAAACTATTTCCTAAGGATTCCGCGATTCTAAAAKTTTGGGAACCGCTGTCCTAAACAACGCCATAAATATAAATAATTCGGAAGTGCTAGACTGTTTTAAGTTAAAAAGCCGTGTTTGAAATAAAACTTGGCAAACCGTGGTTATTGTGTTTTTGCTAAGCGCTGGTTATATTTAATTAGCTACAATTGTGGTAATATTGTTTTTTTTTATAAAAACTCATAATTACGCCATTTTTGTTTAGCAAAACCTTGTATAGTAAAATATTAAGCGTAATATAGTGGATTATCTCCTTTTATTTAATCTTAATTTTAATTTATATTTGATTTACAGAATTTTAGTAATATTACTGCATGTATACATATTAATAAAGGTATTAATATATTATATAGGTACCTTAAAAGGCGAGTTCGTTATCGACCAAAATCGTACCCTTCCCTTTTCGGCCGTTTCACGTTTTGACCAAATCTAAAATAGGCAGATTTCCTTATCGACCAAAACAAAAATTTATATAATAAATTTAAAATAATAAAATATTAAATAATGATATACAATTTTATTTTTGTCAATAATTATTATTAGTTCAATATTAATATAAAAATAATATTAATATATTAGAATTTTCTATATTTCATTTTATAATATTTTACTGCAAGTCTCCAATTACAAAACACACATTGACATCATCTCTCAATGGTTCGTCAAATGGAGAATAAAAATAAATGAAACGAAGTCTTCCTTTAATATCTTTTCTCTTAGGCCTCATTACTGTCCTCCAGTTACAATGAATAATATTATGATCCCTCATTCAAACAAAGTTAAATATCTTGGCTTGATATTTGACAGACGACTAACATGGTCAGCTCACCTCAAGAATAAACGCAAAAAGTTGAATTCAAGACTGTACCTACTAAGGCCACTCCTGCGCTCAAACCTAACATTAAACATTAAAATATTATTTTACAAAACTCTCATACAACCACTTTGGGCATACGGGGTGGTAGTATGGGGGTCTGCCAAAAAATCAAACAAGAGAACCATCCAAGCCTTCTAAAATATCTGCTGTCGTCTAATTACAGGTGCACCTTGGTATTCTCCAATAACATTATAAACTCTGATCTCAAAATCCGCTCTGTGAACGATACAGCCACTCTATATTACAAACGCTTCCATGCAAAACTTCAATCCAACCCCAACCAGCTCATCAAGGACCTTGCTACACCAGCACTTCCCGGAAATCCAACCAACCTAACCTAACCTAACCAGACGACTCAAGCGGAACTGGTGCCGCAACTTAAAAATTTTATAAATTGCTTAAATTAAATGTCATTGTAATAAATTGTAAATATTATTGTAAAGCCACTAGGTGTCTCTAATGAGAGATTTCCTAACATGTTATCTTTAGTTTTTCTTTCTTTTCACCATAATTATTATTTATTACTTATTGTACATCCCTGTATAGATCGTAATATTTCACAATAAAGTCATATTTAAAAAAAAAAAATAATAATAATTTATACAACTTATAAAAAATAATTTTAATATATAGATATCCTTATATTTGAAATAACTTTATATATTTTATTTTAAATTTATTATATCATTTTTTGTTTTGGTCGAAAAGAGAAGGGTACGTTTTTGGTCAAAAACGGCCATGCCCACCTAAAGTACACCTATTTTAATGTATCCACTTCTGCTTTCTGGACTACTGTAATTGGTCGTAAGGTCTAAAAATCCAAGAAATCAAAAATTATTAACGATATACAATAATATTACTAATATTAGAGAAAACTAAGCAATACCTTAGATTKAGAAAAAAAATAATAAAAAAATACCAAATAATTCATTGTATATCTGTAGGTTGTGGATATGACTATGATGGCTCAGCAATATATAATAATGTACAACAGTATCCAACCCACGACCCTCTAAGGCTTTTTTTTGGTATTCCTTTAAAGACATAAATATTTAATAATTTTAGTGTTATAAGTGGGATGAATTTAAAAAAAAACAGTGGAAGATGATTCGGCGGCAGTAATAATCTATGCGTATTCTATAATAATATGTTTATAATAAAATAAAATACGAATAAAAATAATTTTTTTGATCATAAACGTGTAAACTGACCCGCTAACTCTAAAAGATTAGGTTAGAATAAAAACAAATAATAATAGTAATAATTGTAATTTATATTTAAATATTATTATTTATATAATAATTAGTAATTTAGTAAATAGTAACACAGTATTAACATAGATTTTTGTACTGCACTACTGCGGTAGTACGGTATTTAATTTTAATTTTAATTTTTTTTTTATAATTTGTTATTTGTGGTCGTTAACGTTGCGACAAGTGCGCCTTATCATAAACTAAGATAATGACATAATAATATTTTACTCCCATTATACACGGCAGATGGCGTGTATTTTTTTTTTATCACAGTCAACAAATAAGCAAGCTTATCGTATCGGGGATCATTGTGAATAATGTGATTAATGTGAATTGTTGGTGTTTATTTGTTATTTGTTACATTCCATTTGTCCCGTTGTGCCTACATAATTATTTATTACTCTGTGGTTTGTCAATCATCATGATTCCCAAGTCGTAATTCGAATGATTATTATTATCATCAATACTGTTGTTTATTATTCTAAACTCTTTTAAATGTTAACTAGTACACTTAGTTCTCTGTTGTGCAGTGAATTTTAATCATTTTGGTACCAGCAATATTACAAGTAGTTGTCTGTAGTGGACACCAATCGTCGAGGTGAGTGTGTTTTTTTTCCTTCGTTATTGTTGTACGACATTCATGTAACGCCTGTCGCATTTTGCAGATGAATGTCAGGAAGAAAATCTTACCGGTCATATGCTTGATGTCTGCATACGTGCACTGGATCAAGCCTCGTTTGCTGACTGCTTCCGCATCTAAAAGCGGCAAGTCACTACTATTGCACTTGTGTGGCCGTTCCAGGTTTCTCATACCCATGATCGTGTTCACTGCGTTTTGGCTATTTGACGCACAGATGCAGATTGAGGCTTCTGTCAGCCTKACGCTCAGGCGGAATGTACAGATAACTATTGGTACAGCTGAAGAGGAACTAGAAGTGGACATTGAGGACGTTGAGGAGGAGGAGGACAATGATGATGATGATGGTGATGATTCTGCTGATTCTGCTGATGATGATGACAACTTGTTCGCCATTGATTCTTCTATTTCTGATACTAATATCATTGAAGTGGAAGATGTACAAATTGCATTAGAGGAGTATATTCATGATAGTTTTGCGCATAGAAGGTATGCTTTTAGGTGAGTATTCGATAATTTTTATATCTTAATTTCTAGTATAGATTTAAAGATTTTAAATTATATTAATATTTATCATCATATTGCTAAATGTGTTTAAATTTCATATTACCTATTCACTAATATTTATCTATAAGTTTATTTTATGCTTAATATGCTTAGACATCAATTTATAATTTTAAGAGAACAAGGAAATTGTCTTGTTAAATTCTCAACATCCAGAAAAATTATTATTTGAAGTAACTAGGTGTTTGAAACATATTTAAAATATAGGTACCATTTATTGTTATATTTAATTGGTTATATATAACTTATAAATAACTAGTTACCTATTTAAAAAATTAAAAAATATAATGATAAATAATAAATGGACGATTTGGTCACTAATTTAATTCTCATTTTTATTGGTGATGGGTATTGTATTGGACTATACAAAATATTTAAATATTATATTATGTATAGCTAGGTGATTAGGTGTAACTTTATATTAAATAGTGGTTTATTATTTTGAGAACAAGCCAAGGTTAAAACATGATTACAAGATACAATATTGAGCATTTTATGAAAACTTAACTATAATGACCCAGTAGTTAAAAAAGACTTTATTCCTAACTTTATTTAAAAAAAAATTAAATGTAAATCTACAAAATACCTATAACTTTTTTATTTCAAGTTCTTGTTCATATTTTTACCCCCTTCTGATACATAATAGATTACCTCTGTGCTATAATTAACTAATTCTTTACACATAACAAGCCAGTGGTAATAATCAAATGTATTTTAATATGTTGGTATACACAATTGTTCATACAGTATCTGTAATGAAAAGAAAAATAAGTTATCTTTGATAAACTAACGCTCAGTTTTTAGTTTTTCTATTCCAGTGACCAGCCCCATGTCTATTTTTGCTGCCTTTTGTTTTAATATAATTTTTCCCGATTTTGGTATTTTTTTTTATAGGTAATATCCATTGTGGGCTTTTTTCGTTCGGCATTGCCTTCAACTGGTAGATCCTTTCATTTTTTCTGTAAAACCCTGCAGCTATCCGCATAATTTGGACAAACGGTTTAATAGAAGATTCGGAATCAGGTATCGTTTTTATCGCTGGAGCGTGTGCTTAGCGTACAAAGTTTTCATTTGCGGTCATAAATACTTTACATTGTATATACAAAAAATACGATATACATATAACTATTGCTACTCTTTGCATATCGACTGTAGCCAATCAAATTTAAAATATCTATTCATGCATTTTGAATAAAAACTTGAAGGAGTATAAAACATAAAGCACGCAACGCTCCAATTTAAAAATGTGATCGCACAAAATACTATAAGTTTCATTTTCTTGATATTGACGTCTGTTAAAAGCACATCTATAATTATTATAATCATAATTCATAATTATCGGTATCGTAGTCGTTTATTTGTTATACTTGACTTTGCATATTATCTGAAAATTCTGAAATGTGTTTTATGCTTATTGCGTGAGCGTGTGTATCTATACTTATTGCTTATATTTTAAATTGTTTTGCTAAATGGGCTATACAAATGATTACTCAACAAACTGCTTGACTGATGAGGATTGTATACGTTACGAGTTTCCGAATTTACCTCCGATCATTTGAGTTGGTGTTTAGTAATTTTGATGTACCTATTTTAATTGTTTTGTTCTTTAAAAATGGTATAAATAACTATAGTCACCATATTACCATTCATAAATGATCAATCAGTGTTAATTAACGCCAGAGTAGGTAATTTTATTATGAAAAATGAACACATTATCATATTACAATGATTTTTTCATCTAAATCTTAAAACTATAATATGTGGAGTAACTAGAGAGATATCATTTAATGCCATAATTGCTTAATTTGTTTTATACATTGGCTATATAAAAAATATCTAAAACAATTCTATAGTTTAGGTCGAAATACAATTAAGTACCTATAATAACTATAGAGTGTAAATATTAAAATAATTGTCTGAGAAGTAGATTGGTACTTTTAAATCTTCTAGTCAAATTTGCTTCGTTTTTTTGTTTAGTTTATATTATTAGGTTTGTTATTATTATATACATATAGTTTATAATCGTATACCTACCTTGAAATTACAAAGATTAAACAACTGCGAAACGAAAAGAAATAATAATAGTTATGAGTATGACTCATGTCCATGAGTAAATAAAATATTTTATTATTTAAACTAACTATTGAGTTGTTAAAAATTGAGGACCTTGTAAGGGATTTGAGTCAATCCGCGTTCGAAAAATTAATATAGGTGAAGTGAAGAGTAGAATCCTAAATATATTAAGATTTATTATTTAGATAACTATTTTTTTTAATAACTGGCAATTTCCAAGACCTATTTAGAAATTTAAATCGATGAATAATTTGTTTATCTTTATAAATATTTGGTTCAGTGTTCTTTACAAGGATTAACAACTATAAGTAATATTGATGTTAAGATAAAATTATAGGGAATTAAATAAAGGTAACTCTCATGGTCGTTTTTTAGATTTTAGGATTTGTAAGGCAGAATATTATTGATATGCCTTTCTACCGCAATCTAAAATTTAACGTTAAAAATATAATTTTTAAATTGTCCGATTAAAATTGAAATGTCGTGAAATTCAATGTATATGAATACAAAAAATAATATTCTTACCATTATGGTTTATTATAATAGATCGATTTACTCTAGTTTTTTAATTAGGAAATAAACATGAATTTCTGAACATAAATTTGCCATGTTATGCATTCGTTAGATGAAGACAATAAATGCGAGTGTAGGCTCTTCTTAATCTAGAAGCGATAAATTGATATTATTCAACATTATTTCATAACATGTATATGTTTTCAATGATTTAAAGATTTAAAAAAGATTCACCTAGGTAGGTACATCAGTGCATGTAAATATGTAGGCAATACAATTTACCTGTTATTATTTCAAGCGCTAGGCTCTGGATGCATCTTACAAACTATAGATCGGTGTTTGTCAATTGCGCCAATTTTTCTAGACTACCTGAAATCTATACATCTTTTGAGCTGGTGGATTTATCCCAAACTAAAAAGGTGTACATCTTTTGCGCCAGTAAATTGATCACAGATTAATTAGGTATACACTATACATCGATTGCATCAGGAAAATAGAAATATTTTTAGATAATATGTTATTTTAATAAATTTTAATAAGACGTGTATACGTTACATTATAAGTCATTATCAAAAACTGTAAAAATAGTAAGTTGATGTATTCCCTTCTTGAATCCCAATTTTTTTTTCTACCTGTGATTTCTGGCGCAATTTACATATACTTCTATAGATCAGGCCCACACTAACCTTAATTTTAAGAGCCACAAATTCATGAAACTTTCAAAGTGAGCCAGATTGTTAAGATTGATACCTAGGTATGTTCTTAAAATGAAAACACGTTTTTAATTTTATAACAAATTTAAAGGAACAATCATTTTTTACACTAAACAGAGCATTATTGTTTAGGTAGATACACATTAAAAAATGGAATTTTACTTTTGAGAAGTGCTTTTTATATTATTTGAATTAATTTTACTCTAAGCTTGGCGTCAAGAGCCACATGAGACTCACTCGGGAGTCGCATGCGGCTCGCGAGATTCGTTGTGACTTATGGACAACCCTGCCATAGATATTTATTAAATATGCGTGTAAATGTTGTGGCTATATTTACTTATATTAAACAAAAACAAATAATTATATTATTTGTTGGTAATTAATAGTTAACAATGTTTGTGTTACTGTTACAGGGGTCCACGACCTAATTTTCATCGCAATCACCATCAGCAGTAGGATCAACTATAATTTTGAAAGAAAGAACTTTTTTTCCCCATCCAAAATAATTAAATACCTATGTCTATTTTAGAAAGCCATAAATAACTACTCCAAAAGTAATTTATTTTTTTTATGTTTTATAAGGTACCTATAAGTACCATCATTTTAGAGTTTACACTCTAGTACATGGTTGTGTGTACTTACATATTTGACTGTTATTGACACAATCCATATTATTAAATATGTATATTATATACTCATGTAGTCATGTAGTTATCTAATATTATTCATTAAATGTAGTAACCAATTTGAACCACATATTATACCGGTGGTCTCGTTTACAATGTTTAAAAATTATTTGACTTTCGCCAAAAGATAAAAATGATCAGTAAATACACCATGGTGAGAAAATGCTTGGGTACAAGGTATTTTTTTTTTTTGCTTCAGTAACTGATCAAACATCTCCGTTCTTATTCTCCGAATCGTGTTACACCAGACCACGATTGATTAATTTTTTATTATTTTGTTCGTAACGTTATATAGTAATTATAAGTAGGTATAGACGTACACACATATTATAAATTATAATATTATACGTTATTACGATAATGTTTATTATAGAATTGGTACGTACATTTGATAATATCCTTAACGAGTATGATGATTTCACAATAAATAACAAATTACAAATTGTTAGATTTTGAGCACTTACATTTTAAAGATTATTCATTTTCTATCGGTATAATAGGTGGTTCAAGACATGTTTTAATATTGAATGTGAGTGAACATGCATCAAAAATAAATGAGAAGACTGATGTAAAAACTATTATTTGGCAGTATTTGAGATTTCTAATGATTCATTTTTATCCAATGAAAATATAATTAATTTTGTATAGCATTGGAAATATTACTCATTAAATAATGTTATACAATATGTATAATGTGTGTATGTTTATATATATATATATATATATATTAGGTACGTATGTATGATATTTATAGTATAAGATTATTATATTATTATATTAAAAAAAATTTTTATTGTATACAATCGCGTTTTTATTTACATCAACAAAACGAATACGTACTTGAAAATGTTTTTTGAATTATGATTAATACGTACATCATACGTTTAGATACATTCTAAGGTGTTGGTATTTTAAAAAATATCTTATGATTTAACATGAAAGCAACAAAGTGGTAATATAATAATTTGACTTACAATAGTAACTTATTATAATCTCATTAATTTTAACATACTTATTTTACATCTATAATATTACGATATATATAGTATATATAATATTGTATTTTGACTACGTTTATGTATAGTAACATGCAATATTGGTTTTCATTTTGTATTGAGCTCCGTGTTTGATATACGTTCTCGTGTCACTCGGATCTGAAACAGAATGATCAAACACATCTTAATAAATACCAATTTATCAATATTAATTATTAATTAACTATTTGATATCCAATATTGCGGTAATTTGATTTTGAGTATGTATGTTAATTATTTTTTTAATTCCAAATGCTATAATAATGATAACGTTTTCTATGTATAATGTTAAATGATAAGTGTTATATTTTGATATATTAAATTAAAAACCAAATAAACGTTTGCATTGTGTTTGTATGTTATTTATCTTAAGCGATCACTTTAACGCAAACAGGTTCATTTTTTTTTATAAATGTCAATTTAAAAATATAAAAAAAGAAACAAAATTCCAAAATGTTTATTTCGTTATTTTCAACAACGGTTTTCACAACAGCTATATTATTTCCGAGCACATCGCGCTTACGTTACTAACAATAAAAGCCACCAACAGAAATAAAAATAAGCTCCGCTGTGTCTATGCGTTGCGTAATCATGATATACGTAAGCTTTGGTCATTAAAACAAAAAAATGATATCGTTAAAAAATTTGCAGTTGTGAACATTCTTACTATATACATTGAACTTTGATTACAAATGGGTAATTTTATACCACAAGTTTGTATGTGACGAGCGTTTTGTCATTAAAATGTTTATATTTCGTTCCAATTTCTCAAGTCCGTATAGCTATTTTATATTGGTCCATTAAAATGAATTTAAAAAAACAAACAGACAAATCGAGTGGAATGATCCAATTACGCGTCGTGTTTGTAGTAATATACTTTAAGACTTATAACTTATTACATAACCTTTTAGCTGTGTTGGACATCAGGTTGTTAATATGTATGTCACTAGCCGACGCGAAAGTTGGAGATTCATTACTACCGCGTCAGGCGTCTCAGTGTCTGACTGTTTTTGTGTAATGTATAACAACTTAAATATTAAAACAAGATAAAACATGATCTTGCTTCATTTAAAAAAAAGTTGTTACCTACAATACTATAATAGATACCTATCACGAAATTATTTAGTTTTTTTTACGCTTAACATCGGATACCAATGAAAATTATAAAAATTTATAAATTATTTTGTTCTTAAAAATCCGTAACATTTTCAATTTAAATACCTAGGTATATACTGCTTCAACATTTTTTTTTTTTTTTGATCGAATTTCACCTGACCGTTGCAGTTACCATGCCAATCAAATAATGATAAACTTTCAATAATGTTCCATCGAATAATCGTTACCTATAGTAAGTTATACCGATTATTTTTTTTTTTAACGTTTTCGCTTAGCCAATACCTTAGTAATAGCGGTGAACCCCATAACATATTATATATTATATTTTATAATACATAATATATCGTACCATGAACTAATGTTTTTCTTTGCGGTGGAGAGTTGAGAAACATATTGTAAATACCTTTTTCATTATTTTTTTGGATACGAAAAAATATCAAAAGTCTGCTAAGATGTATTTACATTTACTACACATAGTACCGTATGCTTAATTCGTATATATAATACTCTATAAAGTATAAATACAAATATGGTCATATATTAATTTCAAATCAATGAAAACATTTTACCTGCAGGCAAAGTAAAATGAAATTACTAGATAAAAAAAAGGACAGAGTTGTTCATAATTTAAGAAAAACACAAAAGAAAACAATCTTGTAGATTGACGATGATAGATATTTAATTTTACGAACGAATTACCTGCAATAAAACACGGAAACAATTTTTGACAGCTCAATTAGGTGTTTGGCTCGTTCATAGGTATTGTTGCTTTTTTAAAAAAAATCACGAAACTAGTCGCGTTTTCATCGATATGTCCCATAACTGGGTTCTTTTCAAAGTCTAACACGTACGTAAACGAAAGCAAACTATTGTGAAATAGGTTATCTGTTAAGAAAACATTATTAAACAGTCGAATGAACACTAACTCGCGTATTAAATGGTGACACCTCTCAAAAGTAAATAACATTGCGCAGCTGCTCGTCTATACCATTCTATCGCATATGACACCAATGTCTCATTTTTAAAATAAAATCAATCCTGCCTCTCATAGTATCATTTAATATTTAAATCTCATTCGACCGAACGAACCTTTACAGCTCACGTTAAATTAGATATTTCCTACGTATAGGTACAGTACAAGCTATTGGTGCTTCTCAATGATCAACCATTTCTATTTTTTTCTATTGTTATCATAATTATTTTTATATTCCTCTGATCAATTAACTTTCACAAATTACAAGCTCGTCACCGATCAGATAGTACGTTGACGATAAAACAATTTTATCATCTCATAAAGACCCAACTAGTATAACTATCCATTGATAATCTACAGGCACATTTAAATAACCTGGACAATTGGTACACAAAATTGCGATTCTAAGTTAATGAAGTTTTACTATCAAAATTCATGTTCGCTTCAAGAATAAATTGTGAAAAATATTTTAAAAACTCCATAAATACCATAAAAAGATTAAAAACAAAAAAATGCAAATTGAAAATATCATTCAACCAATCAGGTTCCGCTTATAACATTTTTCACTTACGAAGCTTTATTTAAGGATATTGGAGAAAAACCAACATTGCACCAAATACCTACCTAGCTCTGCTATATAATTTAGGTGATCAACAGTCGAAAACTGTCCGAAACGTTTTGTGACCGATCGTATAAGTACCGTATAGTGTCGTTTGTATTCATGGTGTAGCATTCAGTGGATCACCTGCGCCCGGCGGCAAGATTTATAGGGGGCGCTGGTTAAATCACGTGATAATAGTGATCTTGTATTAAATTGAAACGTTGAAATATTGTTTTGGCAACATTGTTAGGAGATGGGTTGTATAGGGTGGGGTAGTGGTGTAGGTACGGAAGCACCTACCACCAAAAAGCTATAAACACGCCAATAGGGATAAACTATAAATGTTAATTTTGCGTGTTATTATTGTGCTATGACGTTACACTACCCTATACGAAGGCACCCGAACCATTATTTTGGCCGGGTTATTTAATTATTACAATACGTCTTAAATCGGTTGAATATTAAATGATAGAAAAATACGAAATATTCTACTTCAAATAAATTTACTACTAGCAACGTGCGTTAGCAAGATTTAGTATGCCCAGTTGTTTCGTATTTTGTAACTCACTACTGCAGGGATAAGGTAATAACAATAAGAATTGAAACAATAAATAATACCTAACTACGATAAATAATAGTTGGGCCGTTAATTGTTTCTCGTCCATATTACACAACAAATCGTATTAAATCGGAGCTGCGCCTTAAATTAACAAAATAGTTCTATTATGTATATTGTATATGTATTGAAACTGACATTAACGACGGTTTTCCACTGCCTAACTACCATCTTTCTAYCAGTTTTACCTGTGCCGTAATACAGTTGTACATAACAAATTCAGGTATCGGTTAAAATAAAGGCAAAATATTAGTTATATTTTTACAAATCATACATTATAATTTGAAGTAAAATAGACACGATTCCAGAAAAATTGGAAAAAAGGTAGATATTTAGTTAAAGGTACTTAGCTAAGGTACTTTATTTTTATTTATTTTTTTTTTTTTGAGGAAAATTGACAGTGGAGGACAACTGTATAGGTATTTATTTTTCGATAGAAAATGGTTACACTAATCATCCCACTAATTTTCCGAGAGGTCTCGGTTACCATTTTATTTTATACTATGTAAAATCACAAATTCAGTTAAACATTATTATTATTAAGTTTATAATATGAAACGGCCAAACGGGYACTTATTTTATTATTTACAATATATTTTATACGCATACATATAGTGATGTATACTTTTTTCAAATGGATGGTTATAAAAAAATTCTAAAAAAGCAACACTCGTGTTTGGTTAAATAACTTTATGTTTTAAAAAGATAAACCTGTTCAACTTGGATGAAATTTAAATTGTGTTGACGACAATTATTGAAGTGGACTTCGGGCTGTTCTTTTCAAACTATATTGGCTTCGTTCGTTATGACATGTTTTTCTTTTSAATAACATTAAACTTCATAAAAACAAACGKTCTTAAATTTTTCATAAAAAGAAAATCGAAATTTTATTTATTGCACTGAAATGTATTTCAAACAAGAAATCRATGAACGTTCTATGTATTGTTAATAATTATTATGTAGTATTGGTATTATATTGTTACTATAACGGCTGCATATACTTAATGTATAAGTAATTTAGAAATAGTTTGAGGTGCTTTCCAATACGTTAGGGAAACTTTAAATGACATTAATTATTTCGCCGACAAAATAATATGTCAAACGCCAAAACCGAAAACCATRCCATAAATGTTGTATACTCGTTTTAGACACGCGGTGATAATACGAGCGAGAGTGCGTCACCAAAATAATGGATTTTCGGACATTTCACCTCGCACCATCTTCCTCGCTGAGTGTTTTCCACAACACTGGACAATAATATTACCCTCAGAGACCTTTCCGACTATATAGGTCGTCTCCACACCTCGTAAGATTAAATGTTTGATCTGTTTTCATCTAACCCGTGACCCGTAAGGCGCGGCGATTCGTATAAAAAGTCGACGCATATTTTTGATTTAAACTGACTGTTCGGTATTCAGACGCAGAAATAAATTATAATTATTGTGACTTTTTTTTTCATTTATTCGCGCACACGTGATGATATATCCACGAGATCTATTTAACTTCGCTTAAAATTGACAGTTGTTTAACTGTCAATGTTTATTTAAATCAATGCGTTGCGGGAGGGGGGCAGTGCCATTTATAAAGTTTAAAAGGCATACTGCTAGCAGATGGGTGAACATTTCAGATTAAAATTATCTGCGGACTTATAAATCGATTCCTACGCGCGCACATGTCTATTGATATACACAATACATAATTATAACGAATACCTATCGATTTAAAATGTTTGTTCCACAAATGCGACACGATAATATTATAATAATATACAATATAAAATTTTAGAAACCTATGATGGGTGCACAACATACATT